ACTCTAACTTGGCAAAAAATTATGGGAAATGTATCTATTCTTGATAAAACCATAATTCAACAAAGCTATCAATTTTGCCTCCTTTGCTCCAAATTCTACTTCTCTTTTTCCTCCAATCTTCTTTTGGATTGTTTTTAATGATCGTTTCCTCTCTACTATGGCTTATTAGCTAGTCCTGTTTTATTTATTTAGTGGCTTCTCTAGGGTTTATTATATATATTCACTTACCATAATCTGTATTCAAATATACACGTATAGTGTGAGACCCTTACAACAATATACTTCTGATTCCTCCTTCCACACTTGTACTACTGTAGTCTACAGGAAGCTGTGGCTGATTCACGTGTGTGTAACCATGTCCACATGATCAGTATTCCCAAAATATAGCAACCTGCACAGAGCCCACTATATAGGGCAAAATGAGAAACGGAGTAATACATCCCATGTTAACAATGGTATCACTGGGGGAGAGGCTGACGGCATAGTCACCAATTAATCAGAACAGCCACCAACCAGCCTTAGCTCTGGAGCAGGGTACTCCGGGGCCTCCAACTGTGCTAGACATCAGCCCTTTATTTGCTGGATCAGGGTGGTACCTAGGAGATGGTCAAGAATTTCCATGACAAGGAAGGGGAGATGGGAGGTGGGACTTGGGACAGCAAGTTATTTACCAAGCAGCTTAGAGGTATTTCAGTATTTTTATGCTGGTCAGCCATTCATATGCCCTGGAGGTAGGTCATGTGAAGCACTTCCCTAAATACACTTCTCTGTGGAGTCTTCAAAGATGTATGGCATGTGTGCTAATATTATAGTAGGACAGAATTCTCTGAGGGCATGAGACAGGTATCTAGGTTGGTCCCTAATCAAAGCCAAACACAGGAGGCAGAGCAGAAAGAAAATATTCACAAGTGTGCTACAAAAAATAATGGCAGGTATTTATACTTGCCATTGATCAGACACTATGTGAGGCAAGACACATTCATTATCTCTTAAACCTCACCGCGACCCTTGAGAGCACACTGTTATTCTCAATCTACAGATGAGGAATAGGAGGCATGGAAAGATCAATTTGCCCCGGGTCACAGTGAAGAGGCAGACTGTCTTGTATCCATCTCACTCGTCCCAGCGCCCCCTTTGATCAAGGCTATTCCTTCCATTATGTGAAGAATTTGTTACTTACAAGTGTTTCACTTGTATTAAACAGTGTTAGCAATAGCAAATAAAGCCCAGGCCCATGCTTCATCTCTCTGGATTCCTGAAAGCTCCCCTTAATTAGCTTTCTCATTCTAGAAGAGGAATCGTGGCTTGGAGTTGGAGGAACAACACGGGTTACCAAAGTTCCATGATTATGGGAAAGTAGCTTCATAAACACAGTACTCAAGCAACCCAACACCAAATCCCTTAATTGGTGCCACAAGGTATGATCCTCAGAAGGCAGGACTCTCTGAAGCCTGCAATCTTCCTTAATTTAACATTGTCCAGATGCTGTGTATAGCAACTTTTTATTTATTTATTTAAGATTTATTTATTCATTTGACAAAGAAAGACACAGAGAGAGCACAAGCAAATGGAGAGGCAGAGGGGGAGGCAGAAGCAGACTTCCCAGTGAGCTGGGAGCCTGACGCGGGGCTGGATTCCAGGACCTGGAGATCATGACCTGAGCGGAAGGCAACCGCTTAACCATCTGAGCCACCCGGGCACCTAGCAACTTTTTAAACTGGAAGGGCCTCCTGCCTTTTATTACTAAACCAAAGGACTAAAAGTAAGCTTGGAAGTTTAGATTCTATTTTATGGCGGCATCCTTTCTCTTAGGTGACCATACTGGGTTTTTGGATGGGAAACTGACTCAACTTGCTCAGTGAAGATGAATCCAACTTGCAGCCTTGAGCCTGACAAATCTTAATTTTTTCCTTCCTGAAAAGGAGCAACAGAAATTACTGGTGGCAATCCAAATATCCAAAAGCTGTGAGGACTTTCCATAACACCAAACTCCCAAATCTGTGACAAGAGTAGGAAGCACAACCACAAATGTAATGAAGTGAGATTTAGTTTAATAATTAACATACCTGCTGGCTCAATTATAACAACTCAAAAGCAAGCTACATAAAAAGAAATGAGCCTCATAAACATACTCAAAAACTACCAGATTTTGTTTTTTCATACTCAATGTAACAAAGCTTCACACCAAAACTCTTGGGACCTTTATAAACTCACTAAACATAGAAAGTATCCTCAAAGACAGGGAGGGATAAAGACCCTACATACACTTCTATAATATTAACACTTCCGTGCGACGTAATATACAGGTGATTCAAAAATATTTTTCAAAGCCAATTTAAAACATTTTACGTAAAATTTACCATTTGACAACTAATTTTCACTAAAAGGCTTGAGATTATCCAATCAGCCCTACTCAAAAGTGACAGACTTGCAGATCACTGATCTAACAATCTGAGTGACAAGTTTAGTTTCCTATTGAATGTAATCAGTACCCTGGGCTCTGCACAGCAACCACCTTGAAAACATGTAAATTAAAGCGACCAAGACCAGTCTAAATATTTAAGAAGTCTCCTTAATTTCTCTTTGCTTACAACTGCCTCTCTCCTAAACTTCAGCGTAAGCACTGTTCTCCTATGGCAGATTAAAAAACCACACCCACACCCTCTTCAAACGTAGGAGATGGGAGGCAGGAGGACAGAGCAGGTCTGAATTTTTCCTCAGCTGCTTCCAACTTCCTTATGTTGGCTAAGATTCCTCCAAGAATCTGGTATTTAACTGTCAAGCATTCTTGGGGCGCCTGGCTGGCTCAGTCGGGTAAGCGTCTGCCTTCGGCTCGGGTCATGATCCCAGGGTCCTGGGATGGAGCCCCGCATCAGGCTCCCTGCTCGGCGGGGAGCCTGCTTCTCCCTCTGCTGCTCTCCCTGCTTCTGCTCTCACTCTCTCTCTCTGACAAATAAATAAAATCTTTAAAAAAACAAAACAAAACTGTCAAGCATTCTTAATTTTAGGAGGTACTGTGAGATTTTGATTTTTATGTCTTCATGTGAAATGTAAAGTTGATCACTGCAATGAACTTTGGTACATAATTAATAGGTATCAAGATACAAAGCAAGTTTATGAATCAGTTTGAATTTAACAAAATGGTGGATGATAAAATGTTCATTTTTTCAGATTTTATAAGGGAGTTCAGAGAACTTGGTGGATATGCAGAGACTGTTATGAAATGGCAGACATTATCATGATATAAGTCCATTCAATTGTCCACAGTTAATAAAAGTTTGTATAGGGGTGCCTGGCTGGCTCAGTCGGTGGAACGTGCAACACTTGATCTCAGAGTTGTGAGTATGAGCCCCACGATGGGTGTAGAGATTACTTAAGAAAAATAATAAAATCTTTAAAAAAGTAAAAAAAGAGTCTGTATACTGGTTAAGAGCAGGGGCTCTAATTACAATCTTTGTTGCATTACTCGTATGACGTTGGGAAAATAATTTAAGCATTTCTATGCCTAAATTTTCTTATCCACAAACATTTATCACCTATATCATTCAAGGAATCATACTAAGCACTTTGGGGATTCAAAGATAATCACACATATTTTACTTTCAAAAAATTTTAAAACCTAGCTGTGGAGACATAAGCAATACATAAGTATACTGAAAGAGCATGAACCCTGGGGCAAGTCTGCCTAGACTGGGCCTCCAGCTCCACTACTCTCTTTGAGAACTAGAGCAGGTTATTTAGTTCCTTGAAGCTCAGTTTCTTCATTTCTAAAATGGTGAAAATACTAGTCTTTACACCTCAGAGTGTTTCCTAAGAACTAAATATGTTTAATACAAAGAGCTCATCAAAACCACAAAGAGATATCACTTCACACCCATTAGAATGGCTATTACCAAAAACACACAAAAAAAACAGCAGAAAATACCAAATGTTGCCGAAGACAGAGAAGAGAGAAAACTGGATCCCTGCTGCATTGCTGGTGGGAATGTAAAATGTACAGACCCGTGGAAAACAGTATGGAGGTTTCTCAAAAAATGAAACCTAGAGTTAACTTATGACCAAGTGATTCCAATTCTAGGTATATATCCACAAGAAGTGGAAACAGGGACTCAAACAGATTTCTGTGCAGCCATGTTCACAGTACTGTTATTCACAATAGCAAAAGTTGTGTATGCCCAACAGATGAATGGACGAACATATATGGAATATACACACAGCCTTAAAAGAAACGAATTTTTGATACATGCTACAGCATGGATGAATCTTGAAAACACTAAGTAAAATAAGCCAGACACACAATACACACACACAAATATTCTATGATTGCACTTATATGAGGTCCCTAGAACAGTCAAATTCATAGAGACAGAAAGTGGAGTGGTGGTTACCAAGGGCTGGGGGAAGGGGTAAATGAAGAGCTGCTGTATAATGGGTAGAGAGAGATTCAGTTTGGGATGATGAAAACGTTCTGGAAAGGTATAGTGGTCATGGTTGTACAACAGTGTGATTATTAATGCCACTGAACTATGCACTCAAAAACAGCTAACTGGTAAATCTTGTTATGTATACTTTATATATATATATTAAAAAAAAGCTCAGCCTGCTACACAGTTAAGTGCTCAATAAACATTAACTATCCTTAGTGCTTTTAAAAGAGTTCAGCAGAGAAAATTGTTTATGGCCAGTACATCATAAATGTAGGCAAGAAGGTACCATCTGAGATAGGACTTAATAATGGGTAAGACGGATAGCAGTTATAGTACTTATTAATATCAGCATTTTATGAATCAAAAAATTAGATGTTAAGTGACAGGGGCTTGCAAATGCTTTTGCCAAAATTTAAAACGATAAATTGACAACTATTGTGCTAGGCATGGGGGTTATATTGATAAAGATATAAAACCTTCTCTCAAAGAGCTCATAATCCAGTGAAGGAGTCTGAAACACAAATAGATAAACATGGAAAATTAGTATGTGCAAGGATCAAACAAAGCCTCTTATCTAAATCTAAATTTTATTGGATAGTTTGCAGTAGTTGGTCTTAACACTTAAAAATCTATAAAGAACTCTGGTTACATTTTACATCTCATCCTTGCGCAGGGGCCATGCTAATCTTCTCTGTACCCTTCCTAGTTCTAGTACATGTACTGTTGAAGCAAGCACTCTGGTTAGAAGATCTCCTTTTTCCATCTATCCTATTTTTCCTTAGGCCCACCAACCCACTTCTTTCTCTCCTCTACTAAAAATCGAAGTATGCCTTTCAATCTCACTCTTTAGTTTCTTCCACTTGGCAAAATCATTGAAATCACATTGAAAAACAAAATAATAAATTAAGTTACAATTCTATATGTTGTAACTTAATTTATTATTTTGTTTTTCAATGTGATTAGTTCAAATGGTTTTGACCTACAAAAGCAGCAATTACACATGGTTCACCATTATGGTAACGCCAAAGTCCTTAAGATTTTTAAATCTGGATTTTATGTATTTAGAAATTAAGTAAAACAGCAGTAATAAGACTTCATATTGGCAAGTGAACAGTTGATTTCCAACTTATAAATCTGAGAGCTGTTCTTTATACCTAAAGCCTAATAGTCAATCTGATCTAAATCCAGTCAACCTTTCTGTCACGGTCAGTTACTTACTGAAATAATTAAAGTTTCATTTCTACTTGGAACCCACCTTTTAATCTTTACCCTGAGTTTCTAAGATTCAAGATATTGCTATTAGACAGGAGATGATTAACATTTACTGGCCAAGTTTCACCTGAGGGACCTATCATACAACAGAATATAATACAAACAAAAAGGAAGAGAGACAATTGACACACAAAACATGGGTCAATCTCAAAAATACGTGGAGTGGAAGAAGGTACATATTACAGTATTCCATTTATATGAATTCTAAAAAAGATACATCTAATCAACAGCAACAAAAACCAGATCTGTGGTTGCCTAGAGAAACCGGTAAAAAGGGCATATGAGAATTTTTGGGGGTGATAGGAATGTTCTCTATCTTGATCAAGGTGATGACTTCATTGGCTGGGGTGTAAGTCTGTCAAAATTAAATGAAATGTATACTTAATATGGGTGCTTTTTATTTTATAAAAACAGTACCTCAATAAAGATGATTTACATAAAAGAAAATGACAGTATACTTTTAATTTTAATTAAAATCTATTTTTAATTAACAAGTGAAAGATGAATACCTTTAAAAAATTAATGTATTGTAGATAACACGAAAGTTTTCTTTGACCACCCTCTCAATCCTGGTTTTCATTCCTCATCTCTCCCATCTATACCTCCTCCCCCAAATAATTACTGTACGGGTTTGGTATGGGTCCTTCTGAACCTTTAAAAATATATTTACATACATATATGGTCACAGAAAATGTACAGTATTATATTGTACATAAATATAACTTGTATATATCTTTCTGCAGTTTGCTATTTTCACTTAGCATTATGTTTCTGAGATCTATCCATGTTAATAAAAAGTTTACTTCTTTTAAATCCAATACAATAATCTATTACATGACTATACCATATTTTATTTAAGCAGGCCATTCCCCTTCTGACAGATATTTAGGTTGTTTTTCCCTATTACATTTCACTAGTGTAGTGGTAAGTCAGTAGTTACTGAGGTGGCCACAGGGATTACAGGTTGTGTTCCAAGGGGACGTTAACCTTAGCGGTAAGGTTTAACTTTTTAAAATGAGAATGTATTCATTTATTATTTATATAGTTTAAGTACTGACTTTAATTAAAGAATTTTCTGATACATAAATTATCACAAAGAATGAAACAAAATCTGTAATAGGAAGCAATCATCTATTAAAATACAAGTAAAACAAACTTACAGGACATAAAAGTGTACTCATGGTTTGAAACATAAATACTGAAAATTAATGACCTGAGCACTAAACAAGTCATACAAACATTCTCCTACTCAAAGCAATTGTAATTAAAATGTTGTCATACTGGTTATCATGGCATAAGTGTAATTAATACATGCACAAATACCTCATTTATATTTTTTGCTTTCTCCTTTTATGACTATGATGTCTTTCCCCATCCCTGAAATGACAGAAGTGAAAAAAAAAAAAACCATTACAAATGATGGACATTTTAATATCAGAACTTTAAAATAGTAATTCACCAGTAATGTACTTCAGAACAAGTTAAAACATGCATTCAGAACTGTTTCCGTATTTTTTTTTTTTTTTAAGATTTTATTTATTTATTTGACAGAGAGAGACAGTGAGAGAGGGAACACAAGCAGGGGGGGTGGGAGAGGGAGAAGCAGGCTTCCCACCGAGCAGGGAGCCCGATGCAGGACTCGGTCCCAGGACCGTGGCATCATGACCTGAGCCAAAGGCAGACGCTTAGCGACTGAGCCACCCAGGCGCCCCTCAGT